TTGTCCAGTTGTACGTTATTATATATTATACTTATACATAATCATATTGTCGTGTTATTACTTATTATATTAATGCTAACATCATTAGTCCGTCAAGCTTCACTTTCAACAGGTTATGGGCCCAGTCAATAACCAGGACATACAGTCTAGTGGATTCGTGATCGAAGTATTTTTATATTTGTACTAACGCAGAAAACTACAACCAGTCGGAGATATCCTGGATTTCGGAAAACGGCGGAGCAGTGTACATAGGTAAAGTTTTGTTATAAATTGTTATACAGGAAAGTATACGGGAATCCATCGGTCATGGAAGACACGGTGAAGATAACAAAATTATGTGCGGAAAACTGGTCGTTATGGAAGTTCCAGATGAAGGTCATTTTAAATGCCTTGGAAGTAGGTGAGATAGTTTCAGGTGAATGGACGAAACCAAGTCTACCTATAAAAAAGTCGGCAGGAGAGACCGACGAGGAAGCCAAAGCACGTTGGCAAAGACATACTAGCGCTTGGCAAAAAGCGGACGGTAAATGTCAGAAAATAATAGTTACCTCAGTGGACGATGGTCCATTACAATATTTGATTAACTGTGAGACTGCATTGGAAATGTGGGAGAAACTGCTGAGTATTTACGAGCAAAAGTCTGAGGCAAGTTTACATTTGCTTCAACAACAATTTTTCAGTTATTCAAAGGAGTCGACAGATGACATGTCGACGCATATTTCTAAATTGGTCAATTTAGGAAGGAAACTGAAAGTAGCGGGTGAACCAGTTACGGATAACATGGTTATGACAAAAATACTAATGACACTACCAAAAGAATATAATCATTTTTACAGTGATTGGGATTCAGTCCCAACGGGAAGTATAAATATAAATAATTTGACTAGTCGATTGTTGATTGAAGAATCACGGGTTATCCAGATCAAAGGTGAAGTTGGTGAACAAGAGAAATCGAGTGCATTTCTGGCCAAATTTCAAAACAGATCTGATGGAAGAAACGGCAGTCGTAATTACGGAAAAGGTAAAAATCAATTTACTAATAAAAGTAATATTAAGTGTTATTACTGTGGTAAACTAGGTCATTATAAAAGAGACTGTAGAAATTTTCTACAAAGTGTACACGGTGGTGAAACCGGTACTATAGGTGCGAACTTGAACGCATTCGTAAGCGAGTCAAGAATAAATAATATTGCAATAGATGCGTGGGTACTAGACTCGGGCGCGTCGGATCATATGAGCGCAAATCGAGAGTGGTTTTCAAGTTATGAACCACTGGACAACACGCAACAAATCACGATAGGTGATGGGACGAATCTGTATGCAGCAGGTAGAGGTAATATTAATATATTATCATACGTAAACGGTAATTGGAATAAAAATTACATGGCAAACGTGTTGCACGTGCCAGGACTAAAATTTAATTTATTTTCGTGCGGTGCCGCGATGGATAAAGGTTTAGTATTGACGTCAGATAGTAAGACGTGTATGTTAACTAAACAGGGGAAACCCGTATGCTCAGGTAAGAGATGCGGAAGGTTGTTTGAGTTAACATCAAGGTCGAAGTACCGACAAACGGGTACGCGACGGTAGCTGTCGAAAACAGGTTGTCTGTTTGGCACGAGCGCATGGCACATCAGAATTTACAGTACGTAAAAAGTTGTTTGGCGAAACACGAAATAGTATGTTCGGCCAAGGACGACGAATTCATGTGTAGCAGTTGTATAATAGGTAAACAAAGTCGTAAATCATTTAGTAAAAGTAATACGGAGTATCACAATGTCGGTGATTTAATTCATGCAGACCTATGTGGACCAATGGAGGTAAGCTCTATAGGTGGTTCAAAATACTTTTTGTTATTCAAAGACGACTACTCGCATTATAGAACGGTATATTTTATTAAAAATAAATATGATGTTAAAAATATTTTTGAGACGTTCATAAAAAGTGTTGAAACAGAAACAGGTTCTAAGGTCAAAATATTACGAACGGATAATGGATTAGAATTCGTAAATAAAGAAATTACGGGAATTTTACAAAAACACGGGATTCGACATCAGTTAACAGTTCCCTACACACCACAGCAAAATGGAAAAGTGGAACGGGAAAATCGTACAATAGTAGTCAGCGAGGACAATGATTTGTGCGAAAAATTTGGATGTATCACTTTGGGCGGAGGCGGTAAACACGGCTGTTTACACGCTTAATCGAACAGGAACCAGTTCAGTTAAAAATAACTCACCATACGAGTTATATTACAAGGTAATGCCAGACATTAAACACTTACGAGTTTTTGGTACTGTCGTATATACACACATACCAAAGCAAAAACGTAAAAAGTGGGACCCTAAAAGTGAAAAAGGAATATTTGTTGGCTATTCGGATAACACGAAAGGTTATCGTGTGTATTATTCGAAAACAAATAGAATTTCAATGTCTAGAGATATTATATTCGAAAACGAAGGTAATAAATTGGAAAATATAATTGTAGACAAATTAGAATTCACAGATACTCAGACTCAAGTCGAGGGCGATCCGGTCAAGGTCGAATTGACGACGGTCGACAACAGGAGTGGCATGGTGCTACGTGATCGGAATACATTAAAAGCGCCGATCAGGTATAATGTGTCGTCGTTCGTCGCCAATCTCGTTGAACCACTAAATCGTGATGAAGCGATAGCTGGCCCACAGAAAAACGAGTGGGAGCACGCTATGGGTGATGAAATTAAATCACTACACGAAAACAACACTTGGTCACTAGTTAATTTGCCTCAGGGCAAGGTTGCGTTACGTAATGCATGGGTAGTGTTTGAAGTATGAGAAATATTTCATGAAATATTTCAAATGAAATATTTCATTTTGAAATATTTCACTAAGTTGTGAAATATTTCACAAAAACGTGAAACATTGAAATTTTTTTAACACAAATAAAAACACAATTTATATATTTTTTTAACACAATATTCAGTGTTCTAAATTCTAATGTAAGAATTCAGTAAGTATACAATATACATGTATAATATTGTATACCTACTTGTATCATTTAAACATTAAAATATTTAAAAATTTTGAATACCAATTTAAATGTATAATACCAAAGGTTAGGTATACATACAGGTACCATATAGTGATGAAGGTAATTTATGACAATTATATGTAAAAATAAAACTTATTTAAAAATAAAACAAAATATATTAAAATACTGAAATATTTCACATATTTTGAAATATTTCATGAAATATTTCACGAAATATTTCATTTTTTTAAATTTCATGAAATTTTCAAACACTATGCATGGGTGTTCAAAACCAAATATAAAAGTGACGGTATTATCGATAAATTTAAGGCCAGATTGGTCATTAAAGGTTGTTCAAAGAAATATGGTATAGATTACCATGAAACATTTTCGCCAGTGGTCAGATACGAATCAATTAGGGCGATATTCGCAGTAGCAGCTGTGGAAAAATTAATACTACGACAATTCGACATCAAGACAGCATTTCTGTACGGAGAACTACAGGAAGAAATTTACATGGTACAACCACCAGGATACGAAGATGGATCGAATAAAGCCAAGGAACTTTCAATACCGATAGATAAATCACATACACTTGAACAAAAGGAAGATACGGAAATATTGAATGAAGATATTCCTTATAGGCAGGCAGTAGGTAGCTTACTGTTCTTATCACAGGTAACAAGACCAGATATAGCATATGCAGTAAACTTTGCTAGTCGTTACTTAGCAAAACCAACTAAAGCTCATTGGAACTTGGTAAAACGGATTATACGATATATCAAGCGAACATTTAATTATGGCTTGTACTTTAATAACAAAACAAAATTGTCATTAGAAATATTTAGCGATGCAGATTACGCAGGTGACATTCAGACACGACGTTCAACGTCAGGATTTCTATTCAGGTACGGGTCAAGCATAATTTCATGGACATCGCAGAGACAACATTGTGTGTCGTTATCATCGACAGAGGCTGAATATATTTCGGCCAGTGAAGCTGTCAAAGGGATCTTGTGTATTACACGGTTGATAACAAGCTTATCAACAACAGGTGACAAACAACCAGTTTTATTTATAGATAATCAAAGTGCTATACGTTTAGTTAAGAATCCGGAGTTTCATAAGAGGACAAAACATATAGACGTACGGTACCACTTCATACGGGAGAAATACGAAGAGGGACAATTCCAACTACAGTACATTGGAACAGAGGACCAGATTGCGGACATTCTAACCAAGCCTTTGGTTAAGGAACGATTCGAGAAGTTGCGGTCAGCCATAGGAGTGACTACAATTAAAGAGATTATTAATTGAGGGAGGGTGTTGAAATATACAATTAATATGTAGTATATGTAGTCAGCCTTGACACGTGTGTACAATATAGTAACTAGTTATGTACGAGCATAAGACTCACTCTCTTTACGGATGTAAGATGACCTCGGTCGTGCATATATATAGGGCCTTTGATGTATGTAATATTCACTTGCACAGACGCTGTCATACCGAGTGTACGCGGTGTGTGTGTATAGTCGCAGTTTAATTGTCCAGTTGTACGTTATTATATATTATACTTATACATAATCATATTGTCGTGTTATTACTTATTATATTAATGCTAACATCATTAGTCCGTCAAGCTTCACTTTCAACAATTTTTATACAAAGTTCCAAGCTCTAAAGATAGCAAAAAGTCTTATGATGTAAATACCATTATTGGATGGTGTAGTTGTTACAGTGGCAAACAAGGAGGGTTTTGTAAACACCAAGCTTTATTAAAACAATATTATGATATCGAATTTCCAAATAGCCCAGTAGGTTCAAATGAAAGGTATAAACTTGCCTTATTAGCTCTGGGAATCAGAGATTAAACCATTTTTTGAGGTACCTACTTCATTACATATTTTAAATTCATTTTAAATATTAATTTTTTTCAAACACTACTTAATAGGATCTGAATGAGTTGCCAACACCACAAACTTCCATTATGGAAAAAGAAAATTTGAAGACAACTAGAGAAAAAACAAACTTACAGTTATGTTATATTGATTTTTCAAATAATTTACAAGATGGTGATATTGAAAATGATCCAAATATTAGACTTTCAATATCTCTGAATAATAATTAATCATTAAATGACAAATTCATCGTGAAATGGGAAGATTTTACTAACTCTAAGACTAAGACTTGGTGAATTACTACAACAAGTTGTATCTGAAACATCAATAAAACATTTATCAGTTTTTACAAAAAAAATTAAAAACATTGATACAACATCTCAAGCTGTAGATTTTATAATAAATAATTCTTTAAGATAAGATTAATGTTTTTATATGAAAAAATGAAATAGTATATTATTTAATTGTTTGGTAAAATTATTAGTTCTAATCGAGGAAGAAATATTCGAGTACAACCAACATCTGTGGCTAGAAGAAGAGGAACATATAAAGGTAATCCCGATGATTGGTGCTGGTAGACCACCTACAGAAAAGAGTACTGCAGGAAGAAATTCTCTTTTGAATAAAAATAAAAAAAAAGTGGTTAAACGTAAACATAACTTAGTACAAAGTATCACTAATAATCAAGCAAACTCTAAATGTCATTAGACAAACAAATTTAATAAATATTCAATATATATTTCAGTTTCATGTTCACCTAATTATAATTTTTTATTTGAAATATAAAATAAAATGCTAATAACAAGTTTTGTATTTTTAACAATTTGTTAATAATTTATTGAACTTTTAAAGTGAGTATATAATATATTATGTACATTGTATTCCATTGTAATAATAGGCCCCTTTTCTTGGGGATAATGAGACTATTGACATACATTGACTATGATGTGAAAAAATTAAATGTTAGTAATAATATTATAAAATAAAATTATTAATTAAACATTTACCATAATATATTATAATAGTATATTATATTGAAAAGCGAATTACAATATAATTAATTACAATGATTTTTAAGTTTTTAAAACTAATTTATATAGATAAAAATTGTAAATACCTTTCTCTGTATAAAATATTTTCACATTATGTTCTCTGTTTATTTTCTTATATTATTCAATTATTATAATATAAGTTTACTAGCTGAATTACCTGGCTTCGCCCGTGTGTAGTTTTTGTTTTATCAAAATTAAAGTCTTAAATCAACACAAATTGTTTTTTTTAAAAGAAGAAAAAATATGTATTTTACTTAATGCTATCAAGTGCTAAAAAGGTAGTAGTTGCTGAATTATAAAGACAACAAAAATAATAATAATAGTATTTACAAATGATATAACTTTTTTTATGAATATTTACAAATGATACGTAGTTGCTCAATTCGAATATGGTTTAAGTCAAAACCTCTTGGTATACCACATTTAGAGTTTTATTTTGTGGTGCATAAACGTACAAATGGTCAGGTCTTCCAACTCTAGAAAATGCCAAATACAATTGTCCGTGTGAGAAACAGTTATTTTCTAAATCTACACCACAATAAGTTAAAGTCTGACCTTGAGCTTTGTTTATTGTCATTGCAAAACATTTACAGTTCCGCTACCAATATTTAAGAGTAATGTAGAAAATTGTCCTGCGTGTATATCTCCTGTTAATTTGGTTCGAATATTTACAGTAAGAGACAATTTTTTTACTTTCAACCAAATCGTAGATGATTTTAGGCTCGCATTTATTTGATCAGATCGTGTTCACCGTGGAACAACCGGTAATGTTTGTCTAAAATCTCCCTCAAATACTAATGTGATGCCTCCCATAGTTTTATCTGATGACCGAATATCCCGTAATGTTCGATCTAAAGCCTCTACGCCCGATTTATGAGCCATTGTGCACTCATCCCACACAATTAGTACACAATCGGTTAATACTTTGGCTAATGGTGAATTTTTTTTTATATTACAAACTGGGGTATTGGTAGCTTGAACATTGAATGTGCAGTCTTACCACCGTGGATTAACGTTGATGCTATTCCCGATGATGCCACACCTATAGCAATTTTACCGGATGATCGGATTTTTGCTAACAACAAATTAATAATAAATGTTTTTCCAGTGCCCCCAGGAGCATCCAAAAAGAGAATATTACCTATTGACTCCTCAACACAATTAATGACATGATTAAACACATTATTTTGTTCTGAAGTCATCATAGTTTTGTTGTTATTAACATATTCCATTAAATCTGTGATGTTGTAGTAATCAATTTATTTTGCCAATTTCAACCCTTCAAAATCAAAATTTTGAAAATCGGGCGATGTGGTGACACTCACGAAGGTATTTGGAACAACTTTGTGAAAAAAAATTGAAAAAAAGTTAAATAGCGTCGTCACAAAATTGGTACATAAAAAAGGCCTGTTCTTTTATATATATAAGGATTTAGTTCGTAAATAATACTTGTAGGCTAATAATTGTTATTGAAACCGTATTTGTATAACGTTCTTATCATTAATGGTTAATAAAATATGATAATAAAATAATAATAATAATAATAATAGCCGCAAATTCAAATTGGACCAATCAGAGCAACCCGGTTCTGAGCGTACCTACATTTGCAAAATACGCATCCCGGACAGGCCCCCAAAAATGTGGGATTGGGCACCAAAATATACACTTGAATAACCAACAGCACACTAGTAACGAATTAACTCTTTATTGATGTACAAATAACAAAATACAGTAGTGTTGCCACGCTTTACAAAATGAAATAACGTACAATTGAAGTTAAAAATCTCGTATTTTTATCAAAATTATCGTACAATAATATTTATCATAACTGCGATTACAACTGATTAATGAATAGATAATAGATACACGGGTTTTAACAATGCTTTAATTATTCTGCGATTTAATATTGGTGTATTGATTACTATTGAATACACCTTGGGTTTAATATTATAGGTTAATGAAGTAAATAAAATAAATTTATAGGTACAACCATACAGTGGCGGATTTTCTGGGGGGGGTCCTAAAAAATAATATGTATTTCAAATGTATTATTTGTATTTTTATAAAAACAGATGTGTTATATTATATTGTGTTTATGCAGTATATATACTATATTCAAATAAAAATTATAAAAAAAAATATTCAAAAATGTAAAATATTATATTCTAAAATTCAAAAATTTACAAAATAAATTCTAATCTTCTTTTGGTTTTGCCTAGTTCTGCCAAGACTGCGTCAACTGTTAAGCATTGCTCATCCCTATGAATCGACATCATTGCCAAGCCGTTTAGTCTAGCCTGAAATCAAAATATTTTTTCATTGATGTATTTTGCATAATATTTGATTATTTATTCTTACCTCGGTCATAGAATTTCGTAGATATGTTTTGATTCTTTTCAAATTTTAATAGGAGCGCTCATTTGATGCAGTGGAAACTGGTATAGTAGCAAGGATCTGAAGGAGTTTGAAGACACTTGGGTACATTTCTTTATTGCAAACTGTCATTGCTTGGAGTGAGTTTTCTGGCTTTTTTCCCGTGTTTTTTAATCTTCTTTGCCATAATTTATATTCAGTTGATAATAACGAATGATTTGTGAACTCCAGATCATCTTTGTAATCATCGGCTAATTGAATAAATTTATCTTCATTTTCTTCTGTATCAAACAGTGACTGAAAATTGTTAAGCTTAATCTTATGATTGACAAACCTTTGTTCAAGTTCAGTTATGTAAGAATCCATGTACGGATTAAATCTGGTTATACGGTAATACTCTTCTGTAGATTTTGCTTGAATATTCATTCTATGTACTTGTCTTCCTATAACTCTCGGCATTGTTATTTCCACTTGAAATTGTGCAGCTGTATATAATTTTTTAAATGAGTTTTCAGCATTATTTCTAAAACATTTTATTTCTTCTAAAGTGTCATCAGCTAATCTAGTTGCTACTTTTAAATCAATGTCAACTTTTTGCAAATGTTTAGATAGGGGTAAACCAAATCCAAAACTCATCGTTTGGGTTCTTAATAAAAATTTTTCGTTTGGGATGTATGAAGAAATCTCGAATTTCGCCAATTAAGCTTAAGCAATTCATGATTGGTCGCACACCACATGATTTGGAGACAACAAGGTTTAAAATATGTGCAGAGCAATGAACATACATAGCAGAAGGATATATTTGTCTTATGTGAGATTGAACGCCGTTATAGATTCCCGACATAGACGCAGCACCGTCATAACCTTGTCCACGAAGAAATTTAAGCTCTACACCAAATTGCTTAAGACTTTCTAATATTAAATTTGCTTAACCTTTACCTGTTGTATTATGTGCTGGTAAAAATTGTAAAAACTCTTCACAGAGCACAAGTTTATATAAATCAACAAATCTGACACAGAGAGACATTTGTTCCACGCCCGATATATCGGCTGTTTCGTCAGCGAGTATTGAGAAACATTTTGCAACATTTACACGTGCCACAATGTTTTTGAGTAAAACTGAATTACATGCTTCAATAATAGAATTTTCACTTGTTTTACTCGTATATTTAATTGTACCATCACTTTCTAAACACATTTTTCAATTTAAATCTCCTTGAGCTCTATAACGAAGAATTTCTCGAAAGTTTCCCTCATTATTTTTTAAATCATTGTCATCAGATTTAGTGATAACTAAACGTCCATCATCTCGATGCCCACGTAGAGAAATGTTCTGACGCCCACATAATAGAATAGCTTCAATTATTGGTTTAATTTTGTTTCTATTTTCTGTAATCTGTTTAACCCTCCCGGTATCTAATTGTTGTTCAATAAACATTCTTGGATTTTTTAAAACGTTTGAAAAATTAGTAGCATCAAGAAAACATTTTTGGTGATATTCTAGAGATGAGTGTTTGGTAAATATTTCAACCGCGTGTTTCCAGTTATTAAATTTTTTTAACACAAGACTACCAAACAATTGAGAATTGTGTCCACCATGAGATTTCGAAAATGCTACACAAAATTTACAAAATGCACCATCTTGTATTCCTGAATACGACAACCAAGGAAATCGCACTAACCATGCATATTGAAATTTAAGATTTCTTACTTCTGACTCGTGTCAATTGTCAGCGGTCAACTAATCTATACATTTTAGTACCTAGTATGTATAAAATAACAGAAAAAGTGTTATAATAATATTGTCCTCTATAGTGGAAAAATACACAGATAAACTCACTATCGCCATACAAAAGAATATCAGGAATTAACGTTACGACGGACGATTTTATCTAAACTATTAAAATACGATTGTAAAATATTTTATTATATTATTATTATTTCAGTAGATAATTGACTTGATAATCAACCTAGGTACTTATATTTAAAATATATACATATATTATTATGTTATACGGTATACCTACTGCAGGGTCAGACTCTGTGTATTCAATATTTAATTATATATGTATATATCAGTGTCAGGGGGGTCCAGACCCCATGGACCCCCCCCCCCGTAAATCCGCCACTGCAACCAATATACCTTAATATCTATCGTAGACCGTGGTAACGTTGTAGGATCATCATCATAACCAAAATCATTACCATAATATTATGTTCCTTAACAATATCCAAATTTATAACCTTATTATTTTCCTTCGACCACATTTCTATCAAAATGCAAAATGAAAGTTACAACATTTTCTTGCACTTTACCTCAAAAGTCAAAAATCAAATACATATTCTCCAATTTTTCATTATAGAAACAAAATCGTAAGTAAAAACATGTACAATTAAAATATAATAATATTCAATATTGTACAATATACATGTACAATATAATAATATTCACCAATAAACAATTAAGTGTTATAATAATAATCTACGGTTCGTCATATAATTTTACCTCTTAAAAAAAACGAGTCAAATAAATAAAATATAAGTAATAATAATAATAAAAAAACACAACCATAGTGGTACAGTCAAATATTACAATACCTACACAAAGTATAATATAGTTTATAAGTTGATAATGTACAATAAACAACATCTAAAACAATTTTTATAACTTTACTGTTTACTCATCCATGTTATTAGTGAAAATATTAAATATTGTACTTGGTGGATCATCATTTGTTTCAGTACTTGATGGAAACAGTGTAGAATGTGTCATTCTACTGAACATAGCTTTGGTTGGTTCAAAATCAACACGTTTTTTTAAAACAACCCGGACCAGCTTTTATTATTTGTTTGGCATGCAAAACTCCACTAATTGTATCAGTTATCAAACGATTTCGAAATTTAATTTTCACACAATTGACAGTTGAAAACACTCTTTCACAGTCTGCATTAGAGTGAGGCAATGCTAATACATCTAGAGCAAACTGTATTAACTCAGAAAAATCTTCTGAGTATTTATTAATGCTCCACCTTAAGTTGAATTTTTTATAATAATAAATATTACATTAAAATAAATAGATATCTAATGACCATATACAAAACTTACCAAAATTCATCAATGGGAAGCTTTTAAAGTCTTCTGGAATTTTGGACATCAACAGTGGCAAACGCCTCCACTGGTCGTCAATCAATTGTATTGTCTCATCGTTGGACACAATACAAGGAATCACTTTAATTAAAGGTATTAATGATGGCTGCACTTCTCTATATTCCAAAGAAAAAGCATTTTTTGGTTTGAGAGTTGACAGTTTGATAAAATAATATCACCCATATCATATCTTTTTTGTATTTCAAACGCTGCTGTTTGTAGAAATAATCGACATCTAAATCATAAATTATATATTTGTATTATTGTAAACTTTTTAATATTAGAAATGTATATACTATATACCGTTCTAAAAACTTTTTTCTGCATATATTGTTTGCAATAACATTTTGGTCATCAATGTGTGACATGACTTTAGCACCTAAATATAACTGTCTGTCAATTAATTGGTACTGACCATATTTACTGTTCATGGCTCTAAAATTTTGTCTGAGTAACATATTCCCTTTTCAAAAAACACAATAAAATTTCTTGGTACAGACTTATTATCATTTTGTGTAAATCTGTGATGACTGATGACTACTTTTTCAGTCTGGAAATATTGGTTGAATCTACAAATAAAAACTTTGTTATGTACAACACAACACCATAACACATTTATATTCATTTATATAAACCTGGTAAATTTGGGAAAAATCCACTCCAGGAAATAAAAATACAGTTTCATAAACGGATCATTTAAACTTTTAAAAATTTCTTCGGTGATCAGTAATCGTTGATTAATCCATGTTTCGGTAAAGTATAGTTTTAGTGCATCCCACTGTTCTAGTATTCTGCTCACGACCATATTTAAAGACAGCCACCTTGTCTGTGATGGATGTAACATTCTATGTGGTTCAACTTCCATACATTTTTGAAACTGTGAAAATTCTGCGAGGCGTTTTGAACTACTTTTTAAGAAATTGAATATATTTCTAGCAAAATCTTCACAATTTCTTGGCAGTTTACACGATTCGCTTGCACATAAATGCGCCGAATGTCAAACACATTTTAAAATAAAAATACCAGGAAATTTATTTTTTAAACAAGAAGCTACCGAATTTACAGAACCCATCATCACATTACAGCCATCTGATCAGAATCCAATCATATTTGTTTCAGGAATATTGTACGTCGAAAAAGATTCCATTAATAAATTAAACAATTTTTCAGCTGTAGCTGAGCCTGGGTTTAACGAGTTAAAAACTGGATGCAAGTCCCAAAACTTGCTAACAATCTTACCAATACTTTTATCGAATAATCTAAAATAAATCAGATCGTGATGGCGGCAAAAACTATCCAAGAGTATTAAATGCCAGCAAAAGAAGAAGAAGAAGCAAATAATATACATGATAAAATACCTGACAACCACACAAGAAGTTTTTACTGTTCCGATATCGGTGGACTCGTCTGTTAAGATACTAAATTTATTATTTTTTAACGATTCTGTTAATACTTCTTTCGCAGAATTAGCAATAACATTTTTAATAATGGCTGTTGTTTTTGTTCTTTTCGTTGAGATACCTATCAAAATAAAAAATATATAAAACATTAAAAACTAAATTGTAATTGTAATTTAGCAAGCATTACCTTTTGTAATTTTTGAATCAGGAAAGCATTCTTTCAATAAACCGGGTAGATGATCGGTTGCTAAGAATGCAACATTGTGCTCTGATATAAAGGCGGCAATTTTAATTTCAGCTCTTTGAATTTGACTATTTAAAGCTAAGTTAGCTCCCACCACGGTTTAAGATAGACAGGTTGCGCATCGACGTATGTTAAGCTTACTGACCAAGTGACTATGCAATGTACTAACATAAACTGACTGACAGTAAGTGCCATCTAGCGTTGACGCCTATAAGTTTTACTAAATCGTGCTAAAACAGTAATTTTATTTTGCAATGATTTTAATTATGACTATTGTTAACTTATTTTTAATCTCTCTAGGTATCTCAAACCTCAATATTATTCACTGAGTGTCTCTTCCACTTTAGGTCTTTGCACATTGTCAACCATTTGCTATTCTACGAACTACAATATTAACGTTGTTTAATTTTATTACATACTAACTAGGTACATATTTACAACACATTTTTATAGGAAATCTTTTTTAAAATAAATCAACCAAATAAATTCATTAGGTATATATTATATTAATTTAATTAGATACTTAAATAGTAAATTACAACTAACACAAAAAGAATAAACATGACATATGCAATTTAAATTAGTTGGATAAGTAAGTGATTAAGAATTTATAATAATAATAATACTTGTGAAATACTGAAATCTTAAAAATATATTTAATTAATTAATCCTCTAATATCAAGAAATAATAATACCAATCTAAAAGTTAAACTTCTAATTTACAAAACCCTCCTGAAACCTATTTGGACTTATGGCATACAGCTCTGGGGTTCAGCAAAAAAATCCAAAACCAATAAAATACAAGTACCTATTCCAAAACCTAGCTCTTCGACGACTCTCCAATGCACCACTGTACTGCCAGTGGGCGGTTCCTTATTCAATTGTCCACGTCCTGTCTTCTCTCAGCACATAAGCTTATTGTACATTACTTGTAGGTAAAGATTGTTTATTTCTAATAAAAAAAACGAATACAACAATAGTTATGACTAGACATTTTAAAAATTTAAATTTAAATATAATATATACACTTTAAATATTAAATCTATAACTCAATCATTTAATACTGTTTAAATTAATGTCATTCGACATTCAACTAGTCATTAGGACTGTTTAATCTAAATAATAATCAACTAATCAAGGTTTATTTGATAATTAAAAATTAAAAAGCGATTTTGTGAAATAAAAAAACCGTGGAGCTTATTCCGTTCAGAAAGGAATTATTATTAAAACAATAATATACTATAGATTATGAATATTACCGCTAGATCGCGTTATGTGCCAGTAAGTTTTTGTAAGCGCTTTCTCATTCCACTTTTTTTCGTTCGACGCGCAACCAGTCTATCTTAAATCGTGGCTCCCACCCACCACCTTAGCTGTATCAGGAACCGACCCTCTCTCTGGTAGACAACTCAACTCCACATGTATAACCTTTTTTTTTTGAAACATTAGGTAGGTACAAAGTTTATTTAAATATATATAAATACTTACATACATACATACATATTAATAATCTATTAACAATGATTGATAGACAAATGTTAAACAAAATTAACTTATAAAGTAGGTACCTACATAGAATAGATATGTAATAAACAATTATAAAATTGCCCTAAACTAAATTAACTTAAGTAAAGCATTTTTCAAAC